ATTTAAAAATTGTAGTAATTTTCTCCCCTCTCTCAATTTTCACATTTAATATCTTTATCTTGTCAAATTATCTGGTCAAATCCTATTTTACCACTTGCTATTCTGTGGTTACTGCTTATTGCTCTGATGCTGGAAATGACATCATTGGACTTTCAAATCCCAGCAGGTTTGTCCAAAGTGAATAGGTTTCCACATACATTTCTGACTGCCAACAGGCTATGAGGGAGGAAGAGACTTAGCAGCAACCTGCTATTTGTGGATCATACAATCTTGCTTGCTGAAAGTGAGGACTGGAAACAATCGCTGATGCAGATCCAGGATTGCCTCCTGCAGTATGCATTACAGCTCAGTGTAAAGAAGACCCAAATCCTTGCAACTGGACCAATAGGTGGCATCATGATAAGTAGAGGGAAAAAACTGAAGTTGTGAAGGATTTCACCTGGCTTGGATCCATCATCAATGCAGTCAAGAGATCAAATGACACAGTGCATTGGGTGACTCTGCTGTATCAGACCTTTTAAAAGTGTTGAGAAGCAAGGATGTGCATTTGAGGGTGGTGTGTGCCTGACCTGAGTCCCGGTCTTTTCAATCCCCTCATATGCTGGTGAAAGTTGAATAAGGAAGACCAAAGAAGAATCACTGTAGTTGAGGTATGGCGCTGGCAAACAATACTGAAAGTACTGTGGATGGCCCAAAGAACAGACATCTGGCTTGGAGATTCCAGCAGAATATTGTGTAGCAGCAAGAATGGCCACACTTTGCCTCACTTCCTTTGAGTACGTTATGGGGAAATACCGGTTTCTGGGAAAGGACCTCATGCTCAATCAAAGAGAGGGACAGTGAAAAGGAGGAAGAGGCTTTACAAGCTGGCTGGACCCAGTGACGGACACACGGGGCTGGAACGTAGCAGTGGTGTGAGAACGGAGTGACCTGTTCTGTTCGGTGGTTCTGTCGTGTTGCCGGGGTGAGTCAGAACAGGCCCAATGACGCCAATGACGCCGTCACAACAACAAACAACATCTTCAGTAGAAGGTTAAGTACTACTGGTGATAATGGACACTGATGTATTTTTTTTGACATTTCTGAAAATGTAAAGTATGATGCCAGATTTTAAACTGAAACAATGTATTGTATTAGGTTAGGGAAGTCGTATCTTTTACTATTTTGTCAAGTGCATTGATCAAAAATGGTTTTAAAATTTCTTTCTAGTTTTTTAATGTTTTTCATTTTTAGAATTATTATATGGGCAATAAATTGAATAAAATTATTAGCCTGTTTTTAACACTCTGAACATGAAAACTCATCTATGTTTGAAAGATCTGTCACAATCATTTTGGAAGACATTTATTTTTAACAAAGATCCTCTTTAAATTTACATATTTTGTTAAGAGAAACACTAATTTACTTTATAAAGTGCATACAACTTACCTAATTATTATTCTTTTGTCTTTGTAGTTTTTAAAATAGATAATAGTATGTGGGATTCAAAAATTTAATGTATATATATTAGATATCATCTGACTGCATTTTTTTAGCTCTCACCTCACAATAAGAGAAGGATTTAATTAAAAGGATGTACCTACCACAGGCAGTCCCCTCCTTTTAGTTTGTTTTTTTCTCTCATTTTTTCCCATGTCTCTTTATTTATTTATTTTTAAAAATCATTTTATTAGGGGCTCATACAACTCTTATCACAATCCATACACACATCAATTGTGTGAAGTGCATTTGTACATTTATTGCCCTCATCATTCTCAAAACATTTCCTCTCCACTTAAGCCCCTGGCATCAGGTCCTCATTTTTCCCCTCCCTCCCCGCTCCCCCCTCCCTCATAAGCCCTTGATAGTTTATAAATTGTTATTTTGTCATATCTTGCCCTGTCCGACATCTGCCTTCACCCACTTTTCTGTTGTCCGTCCCCCAGGGAGGAGGTCACATATAGTTCCTTGTAATCAGTTCCCTCTTTCTTACCCACTCTCCCTCTACCTTCCCTGTTTCGCCACTTACACCACTGGTCCTACAGGGCTCATCCGCCCTGGATTCCCTGTATTTCCAGTTCCTATCTGTACCAGTGTACATCCTCTGGTCTAGCCAGACCTGCAAGGTCGGATTCAATTCATGATAGTGGGGGAGGAGGAAGCATTTAGGAACTAGAGGAAAGTTGTATTTTTCATCATTGTTACATCGCACCCTGACTGGCTCATCTCCTCCCCGAGACTCCTCTACAAGGGGATCTCCAGTGTCCTACTGATGGGCTTTGGGTCTCCACTCCGCACTCCCCCCATCATTCACTATGGTAAGATTTTTTGGTTCCTTTTAGTTTTGTACATCTTTCCAGAGTGCACATGCATTTAATAATCAAAAATGAATAAAACTATTAATCTCCCCTTGTACATTCACACAATAGAGTGAATAATTCACTGTCTTTTCATCTTGTTTCTTCTTTAGCCATAGATTCATATCAAAGGATAAGCAGCCTTCTCATTTATTTTGATAGTTGTTTATTATTTCATATATGGTACAACACAATCTCTAATTCTATTAGTGAACATTTAGGATGTTTTGATATAGCTAAATTTTAAATAAATTTAAAATTAATAGACTCAAAAAGTCAAGATCTTTATTGTGAAATCTGAAGAACAGGCATTTTTTGACCTTGAAAATGGGACTATACATTGATACTATTCCTACTGACAATTATTAGGAAATAGCTATCATCATTAAAAATCCAACAAATCCAATTCCGAGGAAAACATTGAATTTTCTTTTTAGTTTCAGGCATACTTTGTTTAAAAGCAGTCAAGAGATTTTGATATAGGACATCTTCAACTCTACTTACAAAGTAATGTGTTCTGAAGAATATAAGGAATATGGTAGATGTTTATTGGAGGAGTCCATATAATAATCCACCAGCCTTCTGATACCACTTCAAGTATCATGTTTACATTTTGTAAATAATATGCCATCGATGTTATCTTTCTCTCTTAAACCAAATTATTTTTTATCCACATGGCTTGCAATTTCTAGTTGTTTGCTCATATTCATAATCAGATAATTTTTGTCATATTTTTCTGTTCTATAAACTCACTTCTTGGACTCATTTTGATTTGTTTTCTCTTGACAGAAAAGGCTAGTCCTATAAAGAAAATAAGCTGGCCTCCTGGAATTTTATTTCTCTACTACCTTTCCAAATGACACCTGGTGTTTAGAACCTGGGTATTTTCTTTAAAATAACATTTGTACTATTTTGCACTCTATTTCCTGAAGTCGGTGATATCACTGTCTAGAGTGTGCTAGAATTATCCAGGAGGGCTGTAAAAGCAGATACCTACACTTTACCCTGGATTATAGACTATAGTAAAAAACTTTTTTAATTGCTGGTAGGCACTGAGTAATTTTTTCCCTGAACAATGGGAAGTAGGCCAAATGAGTTTGGGACCTATGATTTATATTAACCTTCTTGAATATAATAGTAAAAGTAAAATAGTGTAGAAAGATTTGTTATAAAAAGCAATCACATGCCTGGCCATTTGTAAATTGCTTTTATGCTATAAGCCATGCCATTAGTATTGCAAATACCAGCAGGTGGGCGAGTTCCAGTGGAATTTATAAACTTCTTGACTAAGACAGACTAGGAAGAAAGACTTCATGATCAACTTCTAAAAATTAGCTAATAAAACATGTATGACTCACATAAGAATGTTATCCAAAATGGCACTGAAGGATAAGTCTCTGGTGTGCTCATCCTAACGTTCATGTTTGTTTGCTTTCAGATCTGGGCTGACATCTTCTTTCTTTTCATTGTTTAGTATTGCTCAACTTTGATTTTTCTCATTGAGAAAATGATCCTATCATCCAGTCTTTTTGAAGACTGAAATCACCATTCATCTTCATGGACCACGTTTACTGTAACATCACTGAACCTATTTATCTTGGTAAAAGATAATTAACTCTGTAGTCACTATTATAAAGTAATGTATAATTATGGTTAACATCCTATTGAGACTTTATTTGGAAATATCATTCGTTTAACAGAATTGGATTTTACATGTCCTTAGCCATTCACTTTATCACAATGCTCTTGGGTAACTCTTTTTTCACCTCTTCTACCATTATGTTTTTCTCCTTTCTAATTCTGAAAACATAAACATTTCCAAGGCTGCCAATTTACCTTAGTTGATAATGGAGCCCCTAAGTGAAATGGATACTTTGGATTATCTACAGCCAAAGTATCCAAACTGATACTTTGTATTATCTATAGCCATCCTGATTCGGTATACAGGGAAATGACCCAATGAGAGTATATTCATGGAAAGCAGAGGTTCAAGAATTCTAGGCGTCAATCAGACCTTCCTCCCTCATGTCCCCTAATACCAATGGGCCACTTTCTTTTGGCGTTTTGTACTTATTTTCTCTATTTACAATACTACCTTACTTCAAACCCTCATCTACTCCTTAGAATTAAGGATAGGTCTGCTCCTAACTGACCTCCCTGCTTTCAGATTTCCCACTCAAAGCCACCCTGATACAAAATTCCCTGGCTTTAAGATCTCTAATGAGTCTCTAAGGTCTAGAAAATAAACTTTAAATTCCTTAATTCTTGCACTTAATTTCTCTATGATCATCTAAACATGTGTTTCCCAATTCCCCTGTGAGGTTAATATGCTGAAATGTATCTGGACCATTGTAAGTTACTTAAGTCCTCATCAACCCTGCCCTTCTCCAACCTCGTGAATACTGTTCCCTCTCACTGGAATGCCCATTTCCGTCTCTGCCTGTTGATGGGCTTCTTATTTTCAAAGAATTTTTATAAACTTAATTACCTCCATGTAGCTTCTCTGATGCTTCAAAGCTGAAGATGTTTCTATCTTCCTATGCCTACCTTTAGCATTTCCTTAAAGTTTATTTTGAACATTTAGCCAAGTGCATGCATTGTACAGAGCTCTAGGCATGTGTTCCAAAAAACAGATGCATTTTTCTTGAGACAAGAAATGTTCTGGTTGAGGTCTATCAGGATGACTTTGTCTGTTGACCCTCATCATTTGAAATGCCTCATAGAGTAGCTATGTGGTTTGCTTTACTCTCTGAACTATTGCTTGTATCTGTAGGGAAGAACTACAAGACAAATGTATAGATAGTAGGAACAGTCTAATAGGTACATGGTTTTGGGGGAAAGAAAGAAAGAAAAGAAATGTTCTAGGCATTTATGTTCTTTAGTGCTCCCTTCATTAGAGAGACTCGGGGATTTTGTTTATTGAAAATCTAAATCTATAAAATGAAGTTGTTCATTCTGAAAGCTTGCTTACCATGTAGAGGTATGGATCTGTCTTCTTTGGGGCAAAGGTTGCTTACATGTATATGTGGAGCTTTATAAAATGCAATGCAGCTTTATTTTTCATGGATGACTATAAACAGGCAACATTTAGAAAAATAGACAGGATCATTGTCTTCTTAAACCTATCCTGTTTAATTGGAAGATGTTGTTTTACTTTTGCCTGAGGAAATAAAGGCAAATGAAAGAGCTGGCCAGAAAAAAACGAGATATATTTTATAGCCATGTATAAAGTCAAACATGAAAGCACTTAGTCATTCATATTGTAGGCTGAAAGGCCCTCCTGGCCTGGCATTAGAAGAAGAATAAATTGTAAGTCTTAATTATCTTGTGGGTCTTATTAAAATTGCAAGCTGTTCCATTCTGCTATGTGCACTAAGAACCACTTCTCACAGCTCAATAAATAATAATGGCATAATCATTGAGAGATGGCCACTTAGAAAGTTCAGGAGGAAATATCCCGTGGGAGGAGGTATTGATATATGGGAACAAGACTTTTCTTTTACATACCAACATGACTTGATTCCATGAGCAGTTATTTCACACCTTTTGGAGATATGGACAGTTCAAACATTGACTTTGCAGATATATCTGGATGATAATGAAAACAAGATCAGGAATACCTGTAACTTTTTAATAAACTATAAAATTGTGGCAGACTGTAAGGATTTTCATGTCCCAATAACCAGAGTGGAATACTTCAAAATGACAACAACAACAAATGGATTGCCACTAAGTCTATTCCAATTCACAGCATCCTCTAGGATCGGAATTTCAGAGACTATAACTCTTTACAGGAGTAGAAAGTCTCCTTTTTCTCCTTCAGAGGTACTGGTAGTTTTGAACTTCTGACGTGGACATTGGCAGCCCAACATGTAACCAACTAAGCATTCTGGTTGTGTAGGGAAGAAAGGAATGGTTAAACATAGTCTTAGTAGTCTTAGTTTCAGATTAACATATAGTTATGATTAATACCCCCAAATTGGCAGTTTGAATATACCCAGAATTACTACTTAAGAACAAGTCTTGTGATTTGCTTCCATTAAGATTACAATGAAGAAACCCTTATGAAGGAGTTCTACATTGTAATACATGAGGTCATTATAAGTTGGAATCCATTTAAATTCACCTAATAGTCACAACATCAAACTCACTGTTATCCTGTCAATTCTGACCCTAGAGGGCACAGTAGAATTGTCCTGAGGGTTTCTGAGCTGGTAACTCTTTACAGGAGTAGAAAGCCCCATCTTTCTCTTATGGAGTGACTGGTGATTTTGAACTTCCAACATTGCAGTTGGCCACCCAACATGTAACCATGGGAGAAAGAGGAGGCTTTCTACTCCCATGAAGAGTTTCTCTAGGCTTGAAGGTAACATACCAGCATGAAGCAGTGAACTAACAGAGGTCTGTGGGTTTGGCCCTGATCCCAGCTACATGAACCCCCTCCCCAGAAGAATGTACTATAGAAGACAGAACTGATGATACAGCCCAGGTAGAGGGGTGGGTCTGCTCAGAACACACAGGAGAAAAT